GACCGCCGCCTGCACACCCCGATGTACTTCTTCCTGCGCCACTTCTCCCTGCTGGAGGTGGGTTTCACATCCACCGTGTCCCCACAGATGCTGGCACACCTGCTGGCGGCGCGCGGGACCATCTCCCGCCGCCGCTGCTTCGCCCAGATGATACTCTACTTCACCCTGGGCGCCGTGGAGACCCTGCTGCTGGCCGTGATGTCCACTGACCGCTTCCTGGCCATCTGCTGGCCACTGCGCTACCCAGCACTCATGACTCCCCGCGTGTGCTCTGTCCTGGTACTGGCCTGCTGGGCAGCCAGCCTCCTGGCCCTGCCTGGGCTCTTTGCCTGGATGCTGTCTCTCCCTTTCTGTGGTCCGCGTGTCCTCAACCACTTCTTCTGCGACAGTTCCCCTTTGCTGGAGCTGGTGTGCGCAGACACCAGGCTTCTGCAGCTGGTGGCCTTCCTGGTGGCCGTCTGCACCCTGCTCATTGCCACACTGATCACAGCCTTATCCTATGGCTGCATCATCAGCACTGTCCTGCGCCTGCCTACAACTGGGGGTCGTAGCAAGGCCTTCTCTACCTGTTCTTCCCACATCCTGGTGGTGTCGATGAGCTATGGAAGCTGCATCATCATGTACCTCAACCCCACGCAGACAGGGAGGCTAGACCTCAACAAAGGAATAGCTTTCTTCAATACCACAGTGTCACCCCTGCTGAACCCCTTCATCTACTGCCTCAGGAACCAACTGATACACAGCGTGTGCAGGGATTTGCTGCTCAGGGGAAGGGAGCTTTCCTCCAAGATATTCAGAGCATAAGACTGCAAAACTGCGCTCTCGGTGGAATGGCATTGCTATTGACTTGCTTATTAGTGACTGTGTATGTACGTATTGTGGATTTTTGTGGATTGAACACAGGGTTATGCTCATGCTGAGGCCAAGTGCCCCACCAAGCTGCACCCTCAAGCCTTCTTTTCCTTTGTTACTTTCACACATTGTCTTGGGAAGTTACTGAAGCTGACCTTGAACTCACTGCAGATGATGCAGGGCCTGGCATTTCCACCTTCTTGTCTCAGGCTCTTGAGTAGCTTGACTTGATATGTGCTACCAGGCCTGGCTGGTTTAAACAAAGTGTGTGTGTGGGGTGGGTGTCATTTAATTTTCTTTCATTGTCTGTCTGTCTGTCTGTCTGTCTGTCTGTCTGTGGTTTGTCTGAATATACATTTGAGTGCCTAACACTACTTGTGTGCAGTGTCCTCCTCTGTCAGAAGAGATTATTCCCTGGGACTGGAGTTACAGATGATTGTGGTAGTCACGTGGTTGCTGAGTAGAACCTAGGTCTTCTGGAAGAGCAGCCAGCCAGCGCTCTTAACTACTGAGGCATCTCTCCAGCCAAATGAAGGTATATTTATTTGAGTGGGGATGGCAAAACAAAACAAACACCATCACAAATCAAGACAAAACCAAAAAAAAAAAAAACTAATTAATTTTAAAGCTCATGTTGAAGGCATACTGATGCTACCAAAAATTGCATTTACAGTCTGTGCCACACGAAGCCAGCTTGGGCCACTCATCCTTAAGGATCCAATTAAAACAGCCAAGTTAACAATAAAAAGCTGATTTATTTAACTCAGTCACATTGGAAAGAAATCGCAAAGTGATTCTGTGACACCCTTAGATACAAACGCTCAAGTCTGTCTTTAGGAGTCTGAAAACAGATTAAAGTTCAAATAGAGGGCCAGGGATGTGCTCACCTAAGAGGCCTCTAGGAGGTCATAGGTCATAGAGAAGAACCTAGTACTCTTGCTTGGTTTCAATGTATGTACTAAGAGAAACTGGATAAGTGGCTGCTCTTGCAGAGGACTCAGGTCCAATTCTCAGCACCCACATGGTGGCTCACATCCTCCGTAGTTCCAGTTCAAGGGCATCTGATGCCCTTTTCTGACCTTGCAGGGCACTGGACACGTTCCATGCACGCACCAAAACACTGGAACACGTAAAATAAATAAATCTTTTCAAAATGGTTCTCTTGTGATACTGTCTTCTAAATATTTATGTTAATACCCATAGATGAACACTGCTCCTAACCCTCACCGGCAAAGCCTCATTCCTGTGTGAGTAACAAGGTAGAGAAACACAATCAGTCAAAGTCCCAAGAACAAGTGACTGCTGAGTACTCAGCTGGAAACCAAGCATTTCTACCAGCTCCTTCCCGAAAAGGCTCAGGGAATGTTTCAGAAGCAGAAAGAAGGTAAGCTCTGGAGAATGGAGAGGAGTATTCTGGAATCCGCCTTCTGGATATGACAGGGCTGATGTACCCATGAACTCTCAGCCTCTGTGGTTCCAAGCACAAGAATAAGCCAATGAGATCAGTTAGCATTCCAACAGGGAACCCTGACTAGACTCAGAGCTTTACCAAAACAATAAAAACCAAACAAGCTGGGCAGTAGTGATGTATACCTTTAATCCCTGCACTTGGGAGGCTGAAGCAGGTAGATCTCATAGAGGCCAGTCTGGCCTACAGAGCAAGTTTCAAGACAGCCAGGGCTATGTACAGAGAGATCCAGTCTTGAAAAAGCAAAGCATGGCTGGGCGGTGGTGGCGCATGCCTTTAATCCCAGCACTTGGGAGGTAGAGGCAGGCGGATTTCTGAGTTCAAGGCCAGCCTGGTCTACAGAGTGAGTTCCAGGACAGCCAGGGCAACACAGAGAAACCCTGTCTCGGAAAAAAAAAAAAAAAGCAAACCAAACCAAACAAAAAAGGAAGAAAACATGATGGGGGGGGTGGGGGGGGTGGGGGGGAGGACCTGTGAATGAGTCTATGGGAGCGGTGGGTGAGGGCTAGATATACCTACATTGTAAATACCTGTGTGAAGTTATCAAAAAATAAATAAAAGATATTCTTTTAAGCATTTTTAGATTTGTTTATTTTTATTACATGTGAGTGTTTTGACTGAATGTATATATGTATGTCTTCATGCCATGTACATGCCCAGTGCCCACAGGAACCAGAAGAGAGTGATAGATCACCTGGTACTGGAGTTACAGATGGTTACGAGCAGCCATGTGAGCACTGGAAAACAGACCATCAACTACTCTTAACCAATGAGCCAATTTTCTAGCACTCCCAATATATGATATTCTATAAATAAATAAATAAATAAGTAAATAAGTAAATAAATAAATAAATAAATAAAATTGAGACTCCAAACAAGTTCCTGTGGGAAGCATCTGAAGGAAGTCAAATTAATCACTCCCATAAGGAGAATAAGAAGTTTAGAAGTTCTCTGGGTCCCTGAGGCCTAAGGCCTTGGGGGAGCCGAGGGCAAGGTCCTTCATTTTCACACTGGCTCCTGTAATAACAGTGCCTCTGGAGACCAGGATAGCTCAGTGTCTACCAAGGACCTGAAAGGCTTTCTTCTGTCTCTCTCCTTGCCTTCCTGGGGGCTTTCTGATCCCTTTCCTTCTCTGTGCCTCTGTTCTTGTTTTTCTTGTTTCTGTCTTCTTCCAGTCTGTGTCTTCCCTTTGCTACTGACTCTGACCACTCCTTGCTTTGTGTGTTTTCTCCCTGTTGCCTCTCTTCTCCATGTCCGTCTTTGTGAACCCTCCTCCCCACTCTTGCCTCAACCTTCCCAATGCTGCGAGCCTTTAACACAGTTCCTGGTGACACCCAACCACACATTTATTTTCATTGCTACTTCATAACTGCAATTTTGCTACTGCTATGGATCGTAATATAAATACCTGATATGGGACCCCTGTGAAAGAGTCATTTGGACCACCAAAGAGGTTGCAAATCACAGATTCAGAACCACTATCTTATGGGGTCTGATGTGTGTGTGTGTGTGTGTGTGTGTGTGTGTGTCTATTCCATTCTGAAGACTCCTCATTTCTGTCACTTGGGCTGGTCTGATTCATGACCTTCTCTCTGTAGCCTGTTTCCTGTCATGTGGGAAATCTGCCCCTTCTTGATAAAGGTAACTGAGAAATTCCAGGTAATATATATATATGTATGTATGTATTTTAAATTCTCAGAGCAGAGTCTCAATGAGGCTAAGGCTCAGACTCATGGTGTGGCTGCCTCGACTTCTCATGCATCACCATACCCAGCTCTCTCCTGCTCTGTGAGCCCCAGTCAATCCATTTGCTATGTAGGAGTGGGCTGCAGAGAAACAGGAAAGCATCCCAGTTCTGAGACTGCGGGTGTGTGCGGCCAATCCTGGCTGGCCTCGTGGCTCTCCCTCCACGTGCTGGCTATCGGGAAGTAAATGACACAAAAGTGGTTTATGCACTTAGCAAAAATACATCTTACCATTGAAACTTATACTCGTCCGGGGTGGTGGTGGCGCGCGCCTTTAATCCCAGCACTTGGGAGGCAGAGGCAGGAGGATTTCTGAGTTCGAGGCCAGCCTGGTCTACAGAGTGAGTTCCAGGACAGCCAGGGCTACACAGAGAAACCCTGTCTCGAAAAAAACAAAAAACAACAACAAAAAAAAAACAAAAAACAAGCATCTGAAGCAAAAATCATCTAATTAGTATTTTTGTGAGAAAATTTTATTTATTTATCTGTTTATTTATTTATTTGAAATGGACTTTCATATAGCCCTTGGTTGGTCTGAAACTTCCTATGTAACTGATTTTTTTTTGTTTCTTAAGACTTATTTTACACAAGTACACTGTAGCTGCCTTCAGATGCACTTGAAGAAGTCCCATTACAGATGGTTGTGAGCCACCCTGTGGTTGCTAGGAATTGAACTCAGAACCTCTGGAAGAGAAGTCAGTGCTCTTAACCGCTGAGCCATCTCTCCAGCCCAAGGCTGATCTTGATCCTGATTGTGCTGCCTCAACCTCCCGTGTGCTGGCATTAAAGTAGGTCTAAATTATTTTCCATCCTTGTGCGATAGAATGCTGTGGAGATCTCACATTCACAGGGTATTTCACATGTTCAAGATGTTCCACAAATTCTTCTAAAAGCCTCGAGTTTGATCCACAGTACGATTTGTAACACTCACTGTGCCTGCATTTCCGAGTTTACTGAGACCACAAGGACATCTTGCAACCCTTGCAGATGGAGCCCCCTGCGCCCATCCGCACGGCCAACCGCACCTCCGTGATGGAATTCGTGCTTCTGGGGGTCACAGACAAACGGGGCCTCCAGCTCCTCCTCTTCGGGGTCCTTCTGGTCACCTACACTCTGACCCTGCTGGGGAATCTGCTCATCATCGC